TCTTGCCTAGCATGCAGGAGGCCCTGGGTTCCATCCCCCCTACCACAAAAAAGAAGAAAAAGAAGAATCAAATCCACTTATAACAGCATATGTTATTGAGGGCGAGGAAATGAGCATTGCCAAGCACTACAGTGGGAGTTTATTAAACCAACTAATTGTTCAAGTTCAAACTGTGCATATATGCATATACTTTCTCCTAGAACACATCCTATAAATTCACTCTCATAAGCATGCAAAAGAGCAAATGTCCACTGTAAGATTGACTGTTGAGGGAGGGGCAACAATCTAATGCTTTTAATGAAGGCCTTTTCTAGTTAATAAATGATACCTACTATGGAATACCAACAATTTTTTAAATGAGGCACATAAAGTACACTTATAACTCAAAGTTATACTTCAGTGAAAATAACAATTTTCAGCAGCAACTAAAAATACTGATTTTTCTAAAAGTATTAGGCACTTGTATTCAGTGCTTTAAATAATAAATTATTTAATCAATAAAACATAATAAGGTAAAACAATAATGATTTGTTTAGGGAACAGCCCTAAAGAGATTATCTCATAATAATACTGTGACACAGGATTTCCTTTTACAAAAAAGGAAAAGGAAATACACAGATATTAAGTCATTTCTCAAAGAAAAGTAGCTAATAAATAGTAGAAGAGCCAGGATTTAAAGCCCAGAGCTTATACTCTTAAACATTAATAATAGTCCAGAACAGTACTTAGTATTAACCATTTAATAATTACACTTGGAATATGTATATATATATAAAACTCCAGAGGCATCCATTAAAAATCATACTCTCCAGCCTTGAGAAAATTAGAAAAAGGAAACAGAGTTGTTTATATTTCACATAATAATTTTCAGCACTATTAAAATGTCTTTTTAAAGTAAATAAATATTGCTTTTATACTTTTTAAATAATTAAATTGTTTCAAAAATCCTGATTCAAAATAAGTAATTATTCATCTTGTAATCTCAGGATAGTCTTCAATTAAATAGATCCAAAAACTTCAAAAAGGAATATTAAGTTGGATCCCTATCAACAACTAACAACTGCTCATATTCCCATCATAAATATAAGATAGAAATACACCCAAAACTTCCAAATAAACATTAAAATTAAATCTAATGTAGTATTTTGAGTTTTCTTATTATTCCTACAATTTTTTTCACTCAATTATTGTTCTGGTCAGGCACATTTAACTAATATGCTCAAGCCTATATTATTCAACTTGCGCAAACTGCTTGAGAGCAGTCGCACACATATCACAATTCAAAGACAAGTCAAGTGGAACTGAAGTTTCAATATGCAACGTATGTGCCATTCATTCATTTATCCATTTGGCAAATATTTATAAAGTACCCACCACGGGTCAAGCATGGTGCCAGGTACTAGGGACTTATCAGAATGAAGGAGAAAAATTTTTTGTCCTCCTAAAACTTACATTCCACTGGGGGGAGAAAAGTCAAAATAAACTACTTTCTGAAGTGTGCATAGTACTCTGACATATTAAGTTGACATATTAGAGCATTAAGAATCATCCGTGGACTATGTGTGGACCAAATCAGCATGAAAGCCCATTGAATGGGAAAGTCTGGTATGTGGGAACTTAACAGTGGCAACCCTGCTGTGAACTCCCACCAAGCTCTGCCAGAGGTCCCACATAGCACCAGAGATGGGGTAACCTGCTATAGCCACATAGTGTCTCTGAGATGGGTGTGACCTGACAAGATGCCAATCAATCTGCTGACTACATGACATCTGGAAGCAAGACTCCACCCCTGAAACCTTACCCCTGCCTTTGATGTACCCCCTTAAATAAACCACCAGAGCCATTTTTTAATTGCTCTGTTCCAGCTCCTACCAGGACTGGAAGATCCTATCAGAGGCCCTGCTTTTAAAATCTATTCTTTGACACTGCCTCTTATTTCTTCACTAATTATTTCAGACTTTATTTCTCAGGTGGCTTATCTCCTTCTGTGCAGGAAAAATTACCCTGGTGAGGCACTGGCTGCCTGAGATATTGGAGATTACAAATATCTTTAAATTAGAGATTAAACAGAATGGCATGTGCATGTGCATGTGCATGCTGATTTGGAGTAATTTTGTTTGCTTGGTTAGTTTTAATTTTTTTTCTGTAAAAAACTCTATTGTTTCTGTACAGCTCAATCTAAAATTATAGACTCATCTACATTTTTTAAATAGCCTCTTACGTGCACTCTTTTTTGGGGGGAACAGTTTTAGGTTTAGAGCAAAACTGCATAGTAGAGAGAAATCCCATGTGCTCTCTGACCCCCAACTTGCATAGCCTCCCCTACTATCAACATCCCCACCAGAGTATATGTGTTACAATGGATGAACCTACATGGATGGTTTGACAAGGCTTATTATTCACAACTTAATATTGGGTTTCATTAAAGAACTATGTGGTTCTGGAAACATCTCTGTTGCAAATATTCTCCAATATGCAGGAGGACAATGGAGAAATGGCTGGGGCCACATAATATCTAAAATGCATTAAGTGAAGGCTTTCTCTACACTGTGTGCTGAGAATCTTTTAAATGTATTATTTCATATAAACTTCCCAATAACTCCAATTAGAGTATTATTTTCACTTAGATATAAGGGTGCAAACTCGAGTATGCAAGCTAATTTGTCAAAGTCACTCAACTAGTAAGAAGACTGGATGAGTATCACAATCCCAGCAGCCTCAAACTGAGCAACTTTTAACCTCTGCCCCAGGCCAGTAAGTCTTTAATACCATAGCAAGAAATGTATTGTTAAGTTTGAGGGAACAGGAATGGCAGTTTACAACGTTCCCAAGAAAAACATAAAGACCACCTCCTTATGTCTGATTTGTAGAGCAGAACTCTGTTGCTATGTCTATAATGACCTTCAGCACAGCTGAAGTCAGAGGTATTCATTACTGCATAAAAGGGAACACTCAAAATGCTACAAAGCTAAGAACTCATAAAACACAAGACTACACCCCAGATTCCTGATACCATCCTTCCCAGGAAATTACCCTTCCATTAAACCAAGATGTCCAAGAACTATGAACCAGAAAAATGTGAACCACATGTTAGAACTAAACACATTTACTCTCCATCTAATAGAATAATGTTTTCAAAACTATGTTAGTGAAGAAAAACTGCCCATGGAGACTGTTGAGTCTGAGCTGGACGAGGCAAATCCAACGGATGTGCTGAGACTCCCAGGAAATACCCAGTTGCCTCCTGGAAAAACTGAGCAGTCCAATTAGAATTGTCTTGGAGAGGAATGGAAAGGGAATCCTGCTCACTCATAAATACCCTGAATTTCTCCTTCATTAAACATTTACTACTGCTCATCATGTGAAACACTAAAATATGGGAGACAATTTTAGCTTCAAACACTTGCTAATGTGATGCAACAATTTTCATTCTTACCACAATTAACTCAGCAATCTGAGAATTATTTTCTGGAGATTTTGAAGAAACTTAAAATGGGGTACTTATGGGGCTGGTAATGAGAAAGGATGAAGGTGAGAAACAGGGAAATTCTTTTCCTACACAAATATTCAGAAGAACACTGAATTATATTTATGCTTCCTACCTTACCACACTTCGTTAGCAATGCCTTATGCCAAGGATGAATCCGATTCATCCCTTTGATGATTTCAGGTATGGTAGACAGAATAATGTGCCCCTAAAGATGTCCACATCCAAATTCCTAGAATTTGTGAATGTCACCTTCTGTGGCAAAGAGGAATTAAAATGCAGGTTGGATTAAGATTGCTAATCAACTAATTTTAGAAAAAATATTGTGGATTATCTGGCAGATCCAATATAATCATAAAGGAGCACAAAAATGAATGAGACATAACAGAACTCCCTGTGAGAGGGCCTCAACCTATTGTTACTGGCTTTGAAGAAGCAAAAGGAGGCCAGGAGCCAATAAATGGCAGTGGCCCCCATAAATTAGAAAAGGCAAGGAAACAGTTCCTCCCCAAAACCTATGGAACAGGAAATGCTGCCAACACCTTGGTTGTAACCCAGTGAGACTGCAGACTTCTCACAACCCTCAAAATAACAAATTTGTCTTAAGCCACTAAACTTGTGGTAATTTGTTACAGCAGAAGAGAATATACATCAGACTTCTTTTATACCTTGGATCTTAGGAAAATTTTGACTCTAACGACTAAAATGATCCTACAATCCAAGAAACTGCCTATTAGCTATTTGATACTATTCCCCAAGGAAATAAATACAGAAATTGAGAATTTTTTTAATATATCCAATTTCATGTCTGCTGAATGCAATAGTAAAAAACAAAACAAAAACAACATCTGTACCTGTCTATTTCCTTTATTTCGCTTATTTAGTTATTTCGTACTTTAGAAAAATATTGGTAAGGCAAAGGGGTAATAAACCCAAAAAAGTCACTTACAGAAAAGGAAAGTGAAGCACTGACCTGTTAAATCACTTGCCCAAGTTCAGAAAAATAGTAATTCCATCGTTCCCCTATTTAACAAATGCTTAGAACAGCTACCAAGAAGCTCCACACTGGAGCTGTTGTATAGAAGGAGACCAAGCAGAGCCTTGCCTCTCCCAGTGTGAGTCCACTTCTACCAGTCCCCGGACTCGCCCCAGACCGCCTCACTGGCAGCGCTCCCTGCTGCCCAAGGGCCAGCAAGACCCGCGCTTACAGAGTCAGTCACATAAAAGTACAACCAATGAAGAAAAACACCAGCCACGCGCTCGGCAGCAAGCCGCCAGCCACAGAGCCAACATACGGCCCAACAACCGCCCTCCAGCCTCCCAGGTTCCCAGGTCCCCCAGGTCCCCCAAGCCACCAGCCACCTCCAGCCCTCCCAGTTCCGGTTCCCCTCGCCGACTCCCCGCCCACCATCCGGCCCGGCCCCGCCCACATGTCACTGGCGTGGCCCCACCCTTTACGCCGGCCCCAGCCACTCAACCGCGTCGTGGGCGTGGCTCCGCGGCTGCCTCTCACCCGTCGGAGCTCCGCCTTCCGCTGCAGCTCTGAGTGCCGCTCCAACGCGCTGGCAAAGCCGCCTGGACTCGTCTGAGGCTTCGAGGAATCGGAGCTCCCGCTTTCGGAGCCACTCTCAGTGCCTGCGCTTCTAAAGGGCCTAGAGAAGAGAAACACTCGCAGAAAATGGCTCTCGGCAGCCACGGCACGAGTCCCACACAGCGCCGCCATGACGCCTTCACAACCTCTGACCTACGGCCTCCGTTCCGCAAGCGTGCGGGTCAAGGGCGGAGCGAGGAGAGGCCCGCCCACCGGCCGCGGAGCCAGGAGGACTGGCTGTTTGAGGGCTGTGCTGTGCTGATGAAGAAGTGTAGGAGGTGGAGGTTTAAGTTAAAATGCATGGACTATATCCTCAGGGACTGGAGATCGCCGTTTCGTGTGGGAAGTGCGCTTAGTTCATGGCAGAGTGCGGTAATGCAACCTTTCAGGCTCCCTCAGTTTTCCCTGTTAACCTACTTAGTTCTCCCTGTTATCCTACTTAGAATTGGAAGTTATCTCCCTGTTACCCAACTTAGAATTGGAAGTCCGGATATGCACGCCAGTGCTCTGCTTTCTTTGTGACTTTGAGCACTTAAAATTTTAGGTGCTTTCCGAAGTTTCTCCATGAAGGAAGGAATTTGCTGTTAGGTCTTTTGTACTGGGCACTTAGTAAGACGCAGTTCACATCGAACAATTCACATTCGTGAAATTCTGGATGCAAGTTAATCCTTTGCCACTTCTGGGGCCATTCCTCACGTGAATATAATAATCTGAGACGTCTGTCACCTCCTAATAGCTATTGTACCTTCTAGTGTTAAGGAGCTCGGTCCTTGCAAGAACCAGGCAATGCAAAAACCTGCCCTTCAAACCCTGATTCTTGTGATCAAGTCAGAAATATTTCAGACATGTTGCTCAGAGTAACAGGAATGAGTTTATTGAAAGGATAGGGAAAAGGAATGTGGACACTCTCAAAGGAGAGAATTGCCTCTATGAGAGGAGAGAAACAATGTGCCATTCTTACACTTATTGCGGATTCCAGAGATGTTTCCAAAATGTCCCACCCAGGTCCACCTCATGACTTTTGGCTGACAGCAAGATGACATCAGTCTTTCAAATCCCTACTGCCTTGACAACTCTAGGTCACCTTAGCCCATGCTGGCCAGTTCTAATTGGATTTTTTAAAAAATATTTATTTATTTTTAAGTTTTAGGTGGACTCTTAACCATATATTCTTGTAGATTTTAAGGCTAGGAGGAACTATTCTTATCTCCTAATATTTCCGTATCTGGTCATAAAAGGCTCCTCCTTCAGTGCAACTTGGGGTCCTCTTAACAACCACCTGTAGTTCTCCTGCAGATAACTGGCAGTTTGCTGAGGAATGGCCAGACAGAGCTGCAGGTAAACTGCTTTCTGGAAAAGAAAGCATGTGGGGGCAGCACACTGGGCCCATTTGGGGGGAATTACTCTTAATCTCTATGTTCCCACCATTCACATCTGTATGTTCCCTAACATTAGGGAATTTCAGATAGTGCCTGTGTATTGTACCAGAGGCTCTGTCACTTTTTTTACCTCAATATTATTAATTCCGAGATTTTGCCCACCCTCTTCAAACACCATACTTCACTTTTTAATGAATGAAGTAGTTCAGCCATCTTTTACCCAGTAGTTTTAATGTTAACCTGCAATCAAGCTGTTTTGGAGACAAGGTGGCACACACTTTTCCATGACATTTGAAAAAATTACCGAGGGAAGTACTTTTTAGGACCACAAACCCTATTCTACTAATGCCTCTGACTAGGGATGCCTTTCTCATGCCTTGTATGGCATAGACAATGTACAAAACATTAGAAATAATTGTAGGATTCACAATAACTAGCCAACTGTGGGAAGACCCTTATAAATTCAGTAGGAGCTTAATATAAATTCTATTCCAGGTGAGTACTCCCTAGTACTGAAACTCAATAGGTATAGCATGTCCTAGTTCAGCCAAATGGTAAACTTCTCAAGGACTGTGTGATAAGTCATTTTCAGAACAATTCCTGTAGGGTTTTTTTTTTAAAGTTACATGTCGATGGGCTGTGAGTCCACATAAGTAGGCTACATCTTCTTCATACTTTTACTTGAAGATTGAAGGTTACTTCCACAATATTTTTTAATAAGCAAAACTATCTGCCTCTGATAGAGGATCAGAAACAGCAAATGAGGTTTTGCAGGCTTTTTTGCCTATGCAAGCCACAAATAGAAACAGACACTACAGAGGGGCTGTGGTTTTCACATTTTAAGGATTCTGATCCTGCCCTAACTGCACCTTCCCTCTTGCTTCGTTAAAAATATTCCTCTTTTTTTGCAAGTTAAAACACACACTACAAAAATAATAGTAATGGCAGATGACAAGGTAAGTGAAAAGAAAATAATTCAAATCCTGGCCTCACAAGTACTGGCTATAGTCTCATCAATAAAACTGAAACCACACCCCTAAGAATGAAAGGAAATGTGTAAAATGTCTAGGCACTTAATGAAAGCTCAAAAAATAGCTTATTGATGGCTAGGTGAAGATGACTAGGAGGTGATTAAAGATTTGTGCCTTTTAACCACATATAAATGCCTGAAAGAGAGGGGACTGGTCTAGATGTACAGACTGTCCAAAGACAGTCATTTCAGGTAAAGAAATAGATAAGCTCATTAAGAAGATGGATTCTGTAAATGATGAAGATAGGCAAATAGCATTTAAGGAATTGTGAAAATACTGTTAGTCAAATTGGAAAATAATGGAATTAATCCTGGAAAGCAAGAAAACCTTTAGAGAATATTGAAGATAGCCACTTAAAAATATAATTCAAAACCCAAAACGTGTTTTGCTTTTACTGTGTAGTAGAAAAACCATCAAATTAAAATAATTCACACTGACCAGCCTCAGTAACATCAAAATTACATGAGTTGGGCAGGGTGGTGCATGCCTGTTATTTCAGATACTTAGGAGGCTAAATGAGAAGTACAAATTTGAGGCCAGCCTGTGCAACTTGGGAAGACCTCGTCTCAGAAAATAGAAAGTGCTGGGATGTGTGTGGTAGAATGTCCCTCAGTTCAATCCCCAGTACCAAAAAAAAAAAAAAAATTATATGAGTTTTCAAGAATTTGAGTCACCAAACAGCATTTATTGAAGTATGAAATCCTGGCAGGTGACAGGCACATGCAAACCCTGCTCTCTAAGAGCTCACATACTAAGAGTTTGAAAAAGCCTTTAGATTCATTTTGGTTTCAACATCAGAATATGGAAGTTTTGAAGTTTGCTGGTTTATTCAAAAGCAATGTTTTCTATTAATTGTGACCCACCCATGGTCTCTATAACTGATATATAATTATGGGACCATCACTAAAAATGATTAACCAATGGCCAAATGTCTTCACTACGTGCAAAAATCAGAGTTTTCATCTGGTTTTAACTATAAAGAAACATGATTTTGACAAACTGCCTTATGCAGCATTTTCTCTGGAACATGTGCAGCAAATAGTCACTTCATAAATGCCTTTTGGTAGCCAGCATGTAGCTTTCTCATTTTTGCTTGATAACATTGATTCCATACAGCTGTCACGGTTCCTTACATATCCAGGATAGAACAGGTTTGGAGTTAAGTTTGCCTAATGGACTTACCCCTTTCCTCCACAGACAGGTAATACATACAAAAGAACCCATACCCAAATCATAGAATTTTTATTGTTTTCAAATATTATACAAAAAATAGACAGTGTGTGTATCTTAAAGAACAGTCCAAATTGTTTGGTGGTTTTTTTTTTCTTTGTATTGCAGTAATTAAGTTGCTAAGATGATAATCCAATCAATGTGTTCCCTCTTCATTGATTACTTTGGTCTTACAAGCATACGAATCATGCAATATTCCCACACTCTATAATTTAAAGGCATTCCTATTTGTAAGACAGAGTTGTTGTCAGTGATATTTTCTTCTGTTACACTTCTTGAATCCTTAAATATCCAAGATTTCACTTTCCTGCTGTTTTCTTGTAGTGTCACATAAAACACACAACAGAGTAGCCAGGACCTCTTTCTGGGTTTTCCTATTAATCACTTTTACAAATTTCTTAAATATCTGTCTCATGATATTAAATCTACCACAAAGAACATTTTGCATAGTATGTCTAAATCCAGTTTTATTTTCCTAAATTCATCCTCATTCTTTACTTTTAAGAAGCAAGTGTTGGTTGGTTAGTTGGTTGGTTTGGTTTGTAGACTGGAAAGATGTCTACAAAAATGATTGGCTGGGGGGCAAACAAGATAAAAACAAAAAATAATTCTCCAGTTCTTTCATGACTATCTCCAGTACTCACCTTCATATACCCATTCCATTTCCCATTCCAATTTCCATAATTTTTTTGCATACACACAGTAAAAAGATATGAGAATATTTCTCTTAACTAAAGAAATTGCCATCTTACTCTATTTGGCAGTGTTGAAAAGACATGAACAAGGCAGGACACCCAAGAAACAATGTGATGAACTGAAGATGATTGAAAAACAACAAATTTTTTAAAGACTAGTTGTTGGGAAAAATAACTTAACAGCTATGAGGAACAACCATAATATTTCTATAAAGTGACAAATTTCTACAAAGCTCTCTTCTGGGCCAATGCTTCAACTTTTATCTTAAAGCCTTTAGAAGGAAATTAGAGAATGTTAATCTGATACCATTAAGCAGTGGTTTAAAGTGGATTATTTTTTAATTGCCTTTTTAAAAGAAGAGGTACCAGTTGATTCTTTTATACAATAAACTATTTCCAGAACACTAGTCTCATAATAGATATTGAGATCTATACTACTGATATACAGAACTTATTAAGTTTTTCACATGTAATAGAGCATAGATTCAACTGCACCAGAGTGCTAACAAAAGCTCTAGCAATCAAGAATGGCAGCACATTATTTTATAAAACCACTTGGGGTTTTTCAAATTTGGTGTTTAGAAGAATTTATCATAAAGACATCTAATCATGCTTTTAAAAAAATGTTTGAGGTCACTCCAAGCTTGGCAATTAACATTTGGCATAAACAATTAAACAATCACAACTCGATAAATAATAGATACGACAATGTAAGCCATTACATTTACAGCATAAGAAAAAAGTGGTGGTGAGTCAGAGTAGAGTTAGAACCTCAGTCTCTATGCAGATCTGTCCAGAGGCTTTGATTCATCAGCCCCAACACAGCTCTCACAGCAGGGGAATGTCTACAGTATCATTTTATAATTTCTAACACACTGAAAACAAGTAGAGAATAATGAATTGATTTTTATTAATGTATTACATCCTCAGGAATTATCACCAAAATATGTTCAAGTTTTAACAGTAATATAACTTTGTGTACTTAAAGGATGCTAAATGAATTAAGTGGAGACAGCAATGTGTTCCCTGATGTGGTTGATTTTAGCATGTTTACAACTAGGTCTAAAACACTTGAACACTGATGGGTGCACTCATATTTTGGCCTACTGAAATACAGTATGTTTGACTCAGAATGATGTCAGTTTACTCTGAACTTTAAACTTGAATCTGAAGAAAAGTTGACATAAGTGGTGAAATAACTAATAGGCTGAAATGCTTACTGTCACGAATGCCAATTAACAAGGATATGGGGGATGGGGGTCCCACTCTCAAGTCACCCAGCAGTGTGAATTACTGTACATATGAAGTTATAACAAAATGGATATAGAACTGTTTATTTTAGTCTGGCATCTTCAGATACCCAAGATAGGTACCTTATATTAAGGAGTGTTTATTCAAAAATGGTTTTTTTTTGTAGTTCGTAGTTCATCCCTTAAGGTAAAGAAAATGACACTAAAATTTTTAATAACCAGGATTCATAAAATTTAAAAGAACAATTTTAGTCAGGAATCAAATATGCAGTGATTCAAAAAGGGAAATACTCTTATAGAAGACAAAAGAGCAAACTGGCATCCCAGATGCAGAGCAATTTTATAAAGTAAGAAAGCAACTATGATCACCTGCAGCTTCTCAGATCATCCTAGTGAGCATCCCCAGGTACTATATGTGACTTTATATAATAGCATTTCCTAAATAATGGACCTTCAATACACATTAAAGGGTGTTTCCCAGAAGTAGAGGTTAAGGTATTTTCATTTTGTTTAACCCACAAACTATTTGGTCAAAGAATATGTAAAGCTAAATAAAAGCACATCTGGTAGAAATTCATGGCAATGAATGTTGACAAGATGTGCTTGGATCTTGCTTGCAGCATCTGGCAGTGGGTAGCAGAACAAAGGTAGGAATCTCACAGGTTCTCCTGCGTCTGTTCTGTAGGCGGCTCTGTGGCGGTGACACTAGCATTTGCAGTCGAATTCAAGACTTCTCCAAAATCACCACCAGCAGGTTTGGTTCCCCCTACTTTAGACTTAAAAAAAAGTTCAAAAAAGGAAAAGACAATATGAAACAAAATTAGCTAACTTTGCATAAAGGAACTCTAATTTTACTTTCAAAAACAAATAAGTCAAGAACCTGGTAGCTCAGCGAGATATATATATATATATATATATATATATATATATATAATTTAGTACTGTTGTAACATTCAGGGTGGTAAATTCTACCCTTGCCCCAGCCCCATCAACTAACTATTCTTCAAAGGAAATTTTATTTAAAGAACTTTGTAAAGCCTATTCTAATAAAATATCTACTGAAAAATATAAAGTATCTATTGAACTCTTGCTGCTTGATAAACATTTTGTATTACATTCAGTTCTTCATTCAGCTCCACTTACTGAAGAAATACTGAGCAAAATAAATAAAAGATAATATATGTATTTTTTCCAGCTACAGTGTAGGCATGTCAGCCCTTTACTACTTAAGGTGTGCTTCAAGGCCCTGCAGACTCAACATCATCTGGGAGCTTGTCAGAAATGCAAAACTTCAGACACATACTCTTCCCCACCCCAATTCCAACCACAAAACTGAAATTACATTTTTATAGGATCCCGGTGATTCATGTGTACATTCTGTTTGTGAAACACTACTCCAGCCTATCTAAACTGAAATTGTCAATAAATATGTTTGAAATCATATACATTTATATAGTATTTTATGCTTTTCAAAACCTTTATACATAACATGTCAGTTCTCGCTTTTCCACATTGATGTATCTGTGCTTGCTAGCCATTTCAAAAACTAAGCAGGTCTCTTGTACAGATTTAGAAGAATGATGTATTTTTTATTCATCAAATGCATACTGAGCAATGTGCAAAGCATTATTCTAGACCACTGAGAAGTTCAGTGAACAGAAAGAACAGGACCCTATCATTATGAGTTCACAGAGCACCATGCTGGTGGATTTTGAATAAATAAGCTATAAGGCTGTGTATATACTGTGCCTCTGGAAAACATTCATGGCATGTGCATACAAACAGAAAAGGTGTGTGCTAATGTTAGTATGTGCAAGGGGGAAAAAAATCCAGATCACTATGCAGCATTTGATTTTCTTTCAATAAATATACCCTGGTTCTATAATTTTTAAAAGTTGATTTAAGAATGAGTGACATTGTTAAAGTTCTGAAAGACTAAATAATAGCTTTTATGCTCACTAAGATATGGGTTTTAACCCTTCAAAGATGCCACTATAATTATCAGAATTAAGTTAGGAAGCAATGAACACATAGCCATCATACAAACTAGAGCAAGTCAGGCAGTGCATATAAATTATATGACATTTCAGGTCACTTGTGATTCTAAGAACTGATGATTTTCTTTTTAATATAATCCTTGAGATAATGCAAAACAGTGAACAGTAAATGACAATCATCATGGCATCACTATAATAAAATAAAAATAGAATGCCCAATAATGAAAAACTAAAAAACAACATCCATTTTAAGGTATAACAGCATTGTGTGTGTGTGTGTGTGTGTGTGTGTGTGTGTACATTACTGTTTCTGGGTAGTAACACCAAGTTTTTAAAAAATTTTGTGCCTTCTATATTGTTAACTACAATAAATTTATAGTATATTTTATTTAAAATGAATAAAGCAAAAAGCAGCACAAATTTTTAAATTTCTAAATCCTTTCAGCATTTAGCATGCTACTATGCTATAACATACCCTCAAAACATATTGGTTAAAAGAGTTACATAACTCTTGAAATATCCATTAATAGCATAAAGAGTATGGTTCTTAAAGGTTTTTGTTTTTTTAATTAAAAAAAAAGCTAGGCATGGTAGTGCACATCTGTAATCTCAGTGACTTGGGTGGTTGAGGAAGAGAATCACAATTTCAAGGCCAGCCTCAGCAATTTAGCAAAACCCTCAGTGACTCAGTGAGACCCTGTCTCAAAAATAAAATAAAAAGGGCTAGGATGTAGCTCAGAGGTACAGTACCCCTGGGTTAAATCCCCAGTATGAAAAATAAAAATAATTTTAAAAGGGCTGGTTTGTAGCTCAGTGCTATAGCACTGGCCTAGCACATGTGAGGCACTGGGATCGATGTTCCACACCACATAAAAATAAATAAATAAAATAAAATAAAGGTATTGTGTCCATCTACAACCAAAAAAATAATAATAATAATAATACAGATGCAAATGATTTGCCCACACCAAAGAAAGTTAAGGCACATGCAATTTGTTACAAAGACCCTGTTCACCTTTGTACTTGCCTTTAAGTTTTCAACCTTTTCTTCAAATGATTTGAAAGTTGGAGAGTTTCTAGAGAGGGAAAAAAAATAGTTAAATTATAAACACTGAAAAAACTCGACAGTTTTGAGTACTATTAGCTGACCATATTTCTCTTCACCATTATTCTCAGTGAGCAAAATAACAGATATATTTACATGTACATGTGTACAGGTATATGCACAAATATTTTTATGTAAGATTACCAATTCCTGAGCTAATATTTTTACAAGTCTGATTTTGAGTCCATGATTTTAAGTCTATATCACATTTAGACAAAGTGATACAGAAAAAATCCAGTACATGTGAGAGAAGTGGGAACAAACCAGGTAAAACATCAAGTCTGTCACTTCCCCAATCAACGTGTCACAATTCAAGAAAATGCCACCATTAGATTAGTTTAATTTTGGTAAAGATACTAGACTCTAGAATTCCTGATTATATTCACTTCCTACCTGGCAGGAGTCCAATACCACCCATTCAGGAAAAGCAGATCCGTGGGGTTCTACAACAAGGATCCTAATATCCAGGGAGCAGCACCACAGACAGGGAAAGGAGGGACCAAGAGGAGGGGAGGAGCACAGAAACTTGACTTTGATACTTAACAAGTTGCCCCACCTGATAGCCTCTGAGCCCCAGGGAAGCTTTGTAGGCACAGTCACACTGACCCACACTAATTAAGGACTGCAGCACTTTTATCTCACCCATGGGTTTCCACAATTTTTATCCTATATACTAGACCTTGAATATACTCCTATCAAGATGAAAAGGCAGAGAAGGAAACCAGGAGCTTCCTCCTCCTCACAGTGGTGTTAACAGACTAAGGTAAGCCAATGGTTCTCAAAGTGTGGCCCCCACAACAGTTGGGTCCACAACTTTGCAGCACTTGTGGGTAATGCAAACCCATAGTCCCACCCCAGCTCTACAGAAGCAGAAACTCTAGGAGTGGGCCCAGCAAGCAGGGTTAACAAGCCCTCTGGGAGATTCCAATACACACCAAGCAGACATTTTTAAAATCCGCTGCTTCTCTAGAGGGTTTGGAAAAGAGAACAACATGTACTACTTCAAGTGCTCACTGAAGAAAACAGACAGTAGAATTAATCACAGTTGTCTCCCAACATCACACTGGGACGAGGGAAGCAAAGATGGGTTGAATGGGAGAAAAGGGGAGTGTAACGAAGGCTAATGCTCACAAAGGAGGTGGGCCAGCTATACCCTTGAACAGAAGGTTCTTTAGAGAGTAGCGTTCACTTATAAACAACATAAAGGCTTTATAAAATAAAAGAGAAACTCCTTTTTAACTCAAACATTTAATGGATCTCTTGTACCCATGCAAACACTGTAAGAGTAACTGAAGACTGATACAGTGTTAAACACATAGCTTGTTAAGAGTAGAATTCTAGATCCCTGCCTCAGAAGAGTTCAGGTTAAACATTTAAACAAAGCACCAGAAAGCATAATACCAACTACACTTTGTAAAAATATACTTTACCTCATAGCAGGCATGCTAATTGAATGTTGAATGGAGCGTATACTAAGAGGCAGCATTAAAAAGAGATAGAAATGAAGTTAGTATATAGGGGTGATTCAACATATAAAAAGCCAACAAAACTTAAGCTTTATAGCTTTATTCTTTGGGCACCATGAAGAAGTATCTGCTTTTTGAGGTGGAGGGGATCAAAGTTATTCCAACATAACTTACTTTTACTCATAAACCAATTAATCCCAATCATTATTACAACTAATAATACAACCTTGCATTTGAAACTGTACTCTCACCTGGATCTGTAAGGTGCATAATCTTACAGAGGCTCAGAAGTAAGATGGTTTACCCAAGGTCATGGCAGAATTAAGAATGAACTTGGGTCTCAGGGACTCTTAATTCAATGTTTACCACCTCCCTCAAAAATGAAGCACACACACAAATACACAAGCGAGGCCAGTAAAAGGCCCTGCAGCCCCCTTTCTCTCAGGTATTTGTTATTTGTCCCCAGGCTAAAACAGGTAGGTTTCAAAATAAATTACCTGACAACTTTAAGTGATTTTAAAATTACATATCACTCCTCAGTAATAACAGTTCCCATTTTGTAATAAGAGATGCTTATACTCATCCCAATTAAATTGAATGCTTCTAAAAGGCCAAATAAAATTTGGTTCTCTGTCTTACTAGGTCCAACTTCTACTCAAGGAAGGCATCTTAGTAACTGTACAGGTTCAAGGGTATCTATTTTTAGTCATTTCCCAGAGAACTCTTCATATGCTGAAAGTACCTTTATTCCTAGGATTTTAAAATCATTGCAATCTGCTCTTACTGTTACCATATACATAATTTTGACCACTGGAACAGCTTTTTTTTTTTTTACATAAATAAACTTTCCTTTGGATAAAGTGGACCCCTCAAGGTAGCAAGACTCAATTATATTTAAGTATTTTGTGTGTATATGATTTGGTTTTCTCTGAGACTCGGTTGTTAACAAATGATAATGTGTTTTAAATGCAGCTCCTCAAATCTAGTATTGTATTCATGTGTAATATAGAGTTACTATTTTAAAATACATCAAAATGTTCTGAAAGTTTGTGTAATCAAGATAAGCAATAAAATATTTGGACATCTCTGTACTTGATATCTTAGGTAACACAGGAAAAGATCCATTTAACTGAGTATTCTCTCCATCCTACAATGGTGGTTGATATGTTGGCTTAAAGGACTATAATATACTCTGGAAGGCATTTACTAGTCCTTTTCCTACTTGATCTGAAGTTTATTGGTTCCATATTTGGGGGACAGAGATTGATGATAAGCATCCTTCTAAATTCCCCACACCAGAACTCCAGTCATCATCTGCCCCTCACCTCATCCTTCTAAAGAAACTGCCTAGAACAGCCACACTGCCACAAACCACCTTCCACCATAAGTCATATAATAACTGGGCCAGGGAGCAGAGCCCACACCTAACCTCCTGTGAGCTACAGACTGTTTGGACTGAATAGGGCAGGGGGTTAAAAAATTCAAAGTCAGCTTCTGGTTCAGTTAGTGGCAGTTACTTCAGCCAGAAAGTCACATCGACTTAAATACTGACAAAGACTTCTTTGAGACAAGGGGAAAGCTTCAAGCATAGGAAGCCTGTTCCCAAAGAAGGAATCAAGCCTAATCACAGTTAGAGGTAACAAGGAGAGAAGACCATGCAGGGAACAGGACAGGGTTGAGGAGGAACTGGTTTCCTCGGTTTCTAGAAGTTATCCTAATTTCTAACCCATTTCCAATAAAGCAGGACTGCCTTGATTGGGGCCTGGACTTGCTTCCTTTCCTCTCTGTGGATCACAAAATATTTTTTTTTAATCTGTGCAACCCAGTCTCCATTTAAGATGAACTAACAGATAGTTTTCTGTTCCATGCAACCAGATCTTCACTAGAACACACATTATGGCAAAAACTATCAAATTCTGGTGACAGAAGGCAAGGGATGGCCAAACCCGGATAAACAGTTCACGGGACATACACTGAATTCTACAGTATCAACGGACTGAGGAAATACGTGAATAAGGTAAGTACAAATTTTAAAAATTCACAGCTAATTGTAGTCACTGATCTTATCAGCAGACAGCTGGGTTCTCAGTCCCATTAACCAGCACAAACCGACAATGTTCTTCAGTGGTAATATGTAAGAAAGAGAAAGGAAGCAATCTGATTAAGGTTTATTTGTGAAAATCACTGAACTGAATTTTATCTGAGCAATTTGAGCAATTCTCTGTGTGCATTGTATTTCACAGTAAAAGGATTTTTAGATGTACCCATTAAACAAAATGAAATCAATTAATAGAGATAGGGTTATAGTTGAGGCTTCTCTGCCTTTGAGGTAGCCATTTCAGTAGGAAGACCAAGGAGCACACACCAGCTTCAATTCCATCCAATTATCTGGTCTTCTCTACCATCCAAATTTAGATGAAATTCTATCCTTTTTTTTTAGATAGTCTGTAATCCAGGGGGCAGCAGCTCTCTCATTTGGGCTTCTCTATGGAAAGTTAACAAAAGCTTCAACTGCTTCAACTTAAAATTTCATCCAAGGTTAAATATAATGTGGAAACCTTCAAAAGCAAAATGGCAGGGTGCTGTTAGAGCAGAATCATCTCATAGGCTGTAAAGATCAGTTAGCATCTATAGCAAACTTTCCCACCTTGATTTGTAACCATCAAATATATTATCAAAGTAGAAATACAAAGCTGTGTTTCTCAAAACACACTGAGAAGAAGAATAAAAAAGTCACAGGGCAACCTGATTCTCACTAAATACGTTCTAATCTCAAATTTACTCCTACTGTGAAAAGGTTATTCTTCTTTTTTTTTTTTTTGGTGGTGGTGCTGGGGATTGAACCCAGGCCTTGTGCATGCAAGGCAAGCACTCTACCAACTGAGCTATATCCCCAGCCCCCAAAAGATAATTTTTTTAAAATAGCTAAACTGATTTTAATTTTTTTTCTTATTTCTTACACAGTTATTTTGAACTTTTCATCTTATTAACTAGGGGTGGAGGAGCAGATGGTGAGGTGGGGGAAGGATGCAGTAAGTGGAGAAAGAGAAGGAAGAGGATATGCGGGCGTGTTAGAATGCTTTCAGCCAGGCAGGCTTGTAAGAGCTGTCTGCACATGATTACGCCATTTTGCCCCCAACAATATCTTCATGTAGGCAATGGAAGAGTTACTTCTGAGCAATGCCTAGAGAAACCATCTCAAACTATCACTCCTCTGGGGAGGCACAGTTGAGAGTGCCAGTTTCAGATCTAGGGTGTCCTGGGGTCAAATCCGGACCATCAGTTACTCACACTTGCTTGCCAACCCTGCGGAAATCAATCTCCCCAAGGGGCAGTTTCCTCCCAGCTGCAGTATGAAAGCAGTACCCGCAATTACTTCAGAAGCTCAATCTATAGCTTTGAGTGGCATAAACTCTTTAACCATTATTATAATGGATGATTTGAGTTGAAACACAAATCAGCATCTACTTTGTGCTAAATGTCCTCTCTCAAAGTTTTCAAATTTCATAGTTATTTCATTCATTAGCTTTGACTCTACAGTCCAGAACAGTACTCAATACACAGCACTCAATAAATACTTCTAAATGAAAGAATCAAGGAATAAACAATTTTGTTAACTAAAATTGGGAAGTAGAGGTATGAAAGGTAGAAAAGTTATTATAGTGTTTCAAAGTCTAATCAAAGGGTATTCTCTTTCTAAAAAGAGACATTTCTTTTTCACTAAGGGGTAGAAATTTTCAGCAAAAGTGACTTATCTTGAATGATTTTAACAGAACAAAAAATATCATATACATGAAGAAACATTTTAAAAGAAGCAATTCCCTTTGAAAATGAGGGCAAAATGATTTAGCACTTCCTCTTAAATGTATCAAAAATAGAGCAACATGCTACTAAATAAATACAGTTATACTATTTGTAACAATGAAACTTATGTTTAACAGTAGCACTGAAGAACTGTTCTTTTAAAGTTTATCTTGAAATTGTAAAAGCATGAGTCAATACTTATATGTATGTATAAAGAGTAAGCAAACAGGAGAGTGGTGGAAATGCATACAGCACATGGGGGAAAGCTGGCTGTCCCCAGAAGTTCCCCAGGACAGTTCTCATTATCTTGTCCTACCTGACCCTTAGCCACCCTGCTGGGCCCTCATTCTCAAAGCATAAAACAGATATTCATATCATCATTCCTTCTCTCTTACTCACTCCCCCTACCCCCTCCATCTCTCTCTACCTCCTTCTCTTTCCTCTCCATCTCCCTCATTTTCCCTCTCTTTCTCCTCTCATCTTTTCCCCTAATCAAAGTATGACAAATATCTAAACTTTAAGAGATAATTAGATGACTCTGTAAAATTAAAACTGTAGTTGACTCTAATACCTTCAAGTTGGCAAAACTAGGTACATTTCTCCTTCTGTATTTGTAATTACATTTAAGAGTGAAATCACTGGCCTAAATTTTCCAGAAATACAGATTTGGAACAGTTAACTGCATTAACCAAGCAGTTGCCCCAAGGAGCCTCCTGCATCTATCCCTGGTGGTAAGGGGCCTTGCTGCTGAAATTGGAGCACTCAACTCTACAGTCTAGCTCCCTCTCCTTGGATAGTTCCTGTGGCTAGTATTTGCCTCTGTGACCCACTTGATCTCAAAAATGTAGTTTTTCTTCATACATCTTAACACACTCCATCAGATTAAGTGACTGGTGCACACCTGTAATCCCACCTACTTGGGATTATAGGAGGATTCCAAGGCCAGCCTGGGAATTTAGCAAGACCTTGTCTCAAAAAAATTAAAAAGACTTGGGGTGTGGTTTAGCAGTAGAGTGCCCCTGGGTTCAACTCCCAGTACCACCAAAAAGTGAGGGCAGGTTATCCAACTTTTGGTCTGTTAAGAATTAATTACAAAGATTTGTCAGTATCTTATGTCTCTCATTCCAAGTATTAATCAAAAGATTTACTTAACATCCACATATTGATACACAGTATAGTCATTAAAAATAAGACTAGATACCTAGATCCATCTACTTGATATTTCTAAAGATGCAGAAAAATAATAGTGATAAGTACAGATGAAACATATCATTTCTCTAGAGCCCTTGCATGTTCTTATAGTTTACATCTATATCACACCTAACATTCTTTAATCAAATACTTACAGAGTCTTCCATTCTTAAATGCATCCCAAGTCCCCTTCTCCTTACCTCACTTGACTCAAAAATTTTAAGCTCTATTTTAATAACTGCCTTGTCTGTTTTATAGTTATAACCTTAGGATCTGCCCACAGCAGGCACCCTCAAGTTAGCAGAATGAATTATATAACTAAATGCTTACTCAGTGGCAATATTTAGGCCATTTTTTAAAATATGGTGCCGGGGATTGAACCCAGGGCCTTGTGCATGCAAGGCAAGCACTCTCCCAACTGAGCTACAGCCCCAGCCCCTAGGCCATTTTTTTACTTAACTCCAAAGATATAAAATCACCTCCTATTACTGGTGACTTGATTTTTAATTTTTTTTTTTTTGTATTGAGGGTTGAATCCAGGGGTGCTTTACCACTGAGCTACCTCCCCACCCTTTCTATTTTTTATTTTGAGACTAAGTTGCTTAGAGTCTCACTAAATTGCTGAAGTTAGGCTCAAACATGCAATCCTCCTGCCTCAGCCTCCTGGGTCAATGAAACTATAGGCGTGTGCCATTGCACCTAGCTAGTGACTTGATATTTTTAACACATAATTTTTTTGCTTTAAAGAGTTCAATATTTAGAGTCTGTACATCCCTATGACTTACTCACTTCTAGGACTAAGTGTCACCAAAATCTGAGCTATTAAGTATCTGTTTGCTTACTTAAGAAGGCCTATTATAGCTAGATCATAACAGTGATGCTTGAGAAGACAATCTGCTGTAACAGGAACAGAAATGGAAACTATTATATTATCCTTCCTGCTGACACTCTAAAGATCTCCCTCCACTTTTGTTTTCTTCCCACACCTGACTGGATTATCAGAGTCTGCCTGGGAGAGAAGAAAGGTTTGCTCAACATCACAAGTACTCCTATAAGGCATGACCTGAGCTAACATCTTTTAAATGAGCTTTCTGTTTTAGACTAACACACTTTTTCCTTTGCAAATCATGAAATTGCTTTGGTGCATAAAGAATATAACTGGGGTAATAAAATGGGTAAAAACTGTAAGCTAGTAAAACAAGTATTAAAAAGTGTGAAGTAATAGTAAAAAAATTCTTATGTTTATTTTAACAAACACACAAAAAAGTAGAGTTGCTCATAAAAGACAGAGGACTTAACACGAGGCAGTACATATGCAGTCTATTATAATTACATAATGGAACCCAGGTGAAGGAGAATTCCAACATCCTTACAAAAGCACCAAAGAACCAAAAGCATCAAAAACAAACAAACAAAGTCAGACATTAAAAGGGAGGAATTCTGCATGCCATGGTAAGACTGCTTCTTTTTATAAAAAAAAAAAAAAAAAAAAGAAACTTCAAAATCATTTCCATATCCCTTGAACCACAGTGTCAAATTCTTCTTTTAATTTATCCATTACTCATGGTATACAAGAAACCCTCCCTTTAAAGTTAGAAATGCAGTAGAGGAAAAAGATATTGCAAATGCAAGAAAATTATGTAGTGGACAAACATGACTATTCAATGTGGCTTAATAATCTCATCTTAGCACACTTGTCTTACATGACTGCTAGACTGCAGTGATGGTTCAAACTCTCCTTACCTAAAGGAATGTGAAAAAGCTTGCAATCTGTAAGAAGCCAGAGTAAGCATTAAAAAAGAAAGGAAGTACTGATAAATCTAGAACAATTAAATAACCTACTTTTAAAAAGTCATATGATGTTTTACCTGGGCCCTAAAATGCTACACCATTCAATCAGCATAAAAAGAAGAGAGAGCATCTAATAAACGTATGTATATATATAACACACACATATGTGTAAAAGGGGTCAAGAAAACTATGCTTATTACATTAAGCTTAGATTTCCGATACTCCAAATACAATGAGCGAGGAACTTAGTTATTTTGATACAAAGTATATAATACCTTAACTGACCAAACCTATTCAACTAACAAAATTCTGGTTGTAAAATCTACTTTCTCCACAAACAAAAAACACAAAGTCATGCAATCTGAGCTTTTTTTTTTTTTATCACAAATTTTGCATGCCAACAGAAAGCATAGCTGATATAAACCATGTTTGTCATCTTCAGCACTACTCTAATCCACATGGGTACAGGGAGGCACAAAAGCACTATGAAGTGGTTTTATCAAAATGACAAGAAAAATATCTGCAAACTAATCTCAAATACAAATGCAAAATAAAAAGCAACAGCTCAAAAATCAAGATTTGGGCCTAAGCATGAATGTAGGTACAGCTTACGAGTTAGTACGCATCACTGCACAAATCAGCCTGTTGCAATCACACCATGGTCACATTCAGAACGTAAAGCTGGGTCTCAATCCAAGCGTGCATGTCAATGTTCTTGTACTCATCCCCAGAAAGGCACCAGGCTCTGCCCACAATCACAAATTTGCAACCACCAGGACATACTTACCACCCTGTAAAATGAAGGAGGACTAAAAAACACAAAAGTTTGCAACCAGAATTTCTCAACAACTTTTAACAGATTCATAAGGTGATCATTTTGAAGTCAGAATGTTATGCAAACATTTTAGGTCCTGGCTGGACAGAGCACCCTCCCTCACTCCATCAGAGGAGAGAATTCAGCATCATCTTGAGCCAAAGTTGGGAAACAAAAGCAATCACAAAAGCATTTCAATCTGCCTGAGCTACTTAGTGAGCAAGGAAAAATGCAGACATACTTTACATCTTCCAGCTTTCTGGTGATGACTGAGCCAACAGATGACAATGCAGCAGAAGCCTTCTGTCCAGCCTGAGACAGGGTTTCAGACGTCTTCTTATATCTATGTCCAATTATTAAAAAAAAAAAGTGAGTTAATATTTTCTAACATTATTTCAAGGCAGTGGTCACCATCTACTGAAGGACTCTCAAATATCTTTTTTTAATAGTATCTTTTTTATCTTTTATTTTTTTAGTTGTATATGAACACAATGCCTTTATTTATTTTTATGTGATGCTGAGGATCGAATCTAGTGCTTCACATGTGCTAGACAACCCTCTACAACTGAGCCACAACTCCAGCCCCTCAAAATAAAATATCTTTAAAAACTTCTAAAATCCTTCCTAATACCAGGGCAGCAACAATCACATCACAGTCTGAGCTATCATTTCAGGCAGTTTCCTGCAGCACCCTCATCCAGACAGAAAGGCAGAGGCTTATTACAGAAGGCCCACAGAATCCAAGGGAAGTGTTTCAAATAGTAGCAAAATGAAAATGAGCCAGAGTCTGAACAAAATTACACCTCTTCTTCCTTCCTTTTCCACATAAATCAAACAAAGCAAAAATGAAATCAAATTGTTCAAATGCCTTTTACACCGTTATCTCACGTAGTTAAAGCAAATAAAACCAGGCTCAAAAGCAAAAAGTAGGTCAGGTTCAGTAGAGCCCTTGTATATTTTATTATCTAAACAAATTTTATGAGCATAATTTTTTAAAATTTTTTCCCATCTGTACAGCTACCAAGTAAGGACTTGTTGAACCCTCACCAGAGTATGTAAAAGATGCAACACTTAAAATGACTCTAGGGTGATATTGTACCAGAAAGGTGTTAAGTTACCATCCCCTCTCTTCCCAGCCACCTAAGATTAGAAAAACAAACAACAAAAAGAGTATGGTACCTACCACAAAGGTTAAGATCCCCACTGTGGAAATGAATGCTCAGGCATTTTTTTAAAATACTTTTTTAGTTGTAGATGGACACAATGTCTTTATTCTTATTTATTTATTTTTATGTGGTGCCGAGAATCGAACCAGGGCCTCACGAATGTGAAACAAGAGCTCAACCACTAAGCTACAAGCCCAGCCCCTCAGGCATTTTTTCTTACCCCATCAAGATCAAATACCAGGAACAAACATTGTTCATGATAATGCAGTCAAAGACTAGTTTCCTTTGTGTTTTCCCACTGCCAACTAATATGAATGGAAGTGGATCAAGAGTGGGCAAGTACCATCAGGTCAAAAGCAGCTGGCCTCACCAATGATGGCTAAGCTGTAAACAACTCCTAAGCTCACCTGGTAGGCAGTTGCAGAGATACAAAAGATAAGAAAACAGTTTAAATCCCTTGCTAGAAGTTTGCTCCTCCTTGTGACAAGAAAGAAAACTGCACTATGATAATGCTATATCAGAACTTGTGTGATCAAAGACGCATCTCAAAGAACTGGTCTCTGTTATGAGCACATAGAAGAGACTGACCCGAGAATCTTATGATACATACAAGCAGGCTAAAAAATAAAAAGGACTGGCTGTATAGTTGTCCAGACTTTAATTTGAGTCCTGACCCAACATTTTGAGAGGTGTGTGACCTCAAAACTTCACTTATCTGGGCCTATTTCCTTATCTAGGATTGTCTTACCAATACCCTAATGACTTATTCTGAGGACTAAACGACACTATATATATATTTGGAAAGTCAATATACAGTAGTCCCCTCCCTAATCTGATGGCAATGCACGTTCCAAGACCATCAGTGTATGCATAAAACCACAGATCTCACAAGCTCTGTATATACTGTTTTCTCTAATGTGGCTTCTAAGTGACTTGGTAGCATACTCAACATGAATACACTGGACAAAGGGGATGATTTGTGTCCCAAGCAGGATAGCATGAGTTTTTTGGTTTTTTTGTTTGTTTTTTTAATGATTTCTGGAAGTACCTAATGGCGGGAAAATATTTTTCCTCTCATGTTTTTAATTGGTGCATTATAGTTGTACATGATGATGGTATTTGCTGTTACATATTCATACATGCATACAACACACAATATAACAGTATAATTTGGCCAATATCACTCCCCAGCACTTCCTTCTTCCCTCCCCAACTCCTTCAGTTCCTTTCTTCTATTGATCTTCCCTTTGATTTTCATGAGATCCTCCCCCTCTTTTTCCTGTCTAGCTTCCACATATGAGAGAAAACATATGACCCTTAACTTTCTGAGTTTGACTTATTTTGCTTAACATAATGGTCTCTAGCTATACCCATTTTCCTGCAAATAACAATTTCTTTTTTTATGACTAAATAAAACTCTTCTTTATCCATTCATTGATGGACACCTCGGCTGGTTCCATAGTTTGGCTCTGTGAATTGTGCTGCTATAAACATGAGTATACATATATCACTGTAGTGTGAAGACTTTTAATTCTTTAGGACAAATACCAAGAAGTGATATAACTAGACCATATGGTGGTTCCATGCCTAGTCTTTTGAGAAATCTCCACACTGATTTCCATAGCAGTTGTATTAATTTATAATCTCACCAACAGTGTAAAAGTGTTCCTTTTTTTCCACATCCTCCCCAGCATTTATTATTATTTGTATTCTTGATGACTGTCATCTGACTGATGTGAGATGAAAACTCAGTGTAGTTTTGATGTGCATTTCCCTTATTGCTAATGATGAACATTTTTTTTCATATATTTATTGGCCATTTGTATTCTTTTTTGGAGAAGTGTCTGTTTAATTCATTTGCCCTTTTATTAGTGGGATTATTTTGCTTATTAAAGTTTTTTGTATGCTTTATATATTCTAGGTATTAATCCTATCAGAAGAGTAGCTAGGAAAGATTTTCTCCTATTCAGTAGGTTATCTCTTACATCTAATTGTTTCCTTTGCTAGAAAGCAAGAGATTTTATCATGCTACTCAGAAGGGCATGCAATTTAAAACTTATTAATTATTTATTTCTAGAATTTTTTCATTTAATATTCTCAGAGTATAGTTGACTATAAGAAACTGAAACCTCAGGAAACAACTATGGTAAAGGAGGACTATTGTATAGCCTTCTTGAATTTGAATTTTGTTTTTTTCAACTTGCATATGAGGCTGGTTTTATTTCTATTCCCTAAAACAGTTAGAAAACCAAAGTTATAATAGAGAAACGGAAAGAAAGTGTTCTGTGTGATTTAAATAAAAGCTATCCAAGTGTCCTCATCCCCTTTCTCTTCCCTTCCCCAAAGAAAAAGTACAGAAATGTCCTTCATGTTGTCTAGAAAAATGTATTGAGGGAACATACGCAGACGTTGCCGTCACATCTTGCCACCCTTTGGCAATGTTCTGTTTTAGTTCCTGTAGTGAACTGATTCCAAGTTTCCGCTTGATCTCTGCTAGATGCTTCTCTTTTGCTGCTAACACCTGAGACAGAGTCTGGATTTCTTCTTCTACCTATGAGGAAGAGATTTGGGGGAGGAATATGGCAAAAGTTATTCAGTAAGTCAAGATTATTAGAGCAAAACTCTACTCAAAATTCCAGAGTGATTTAAAAATTGATTCATTTACCTGTCTTTTTAAAACATCATGTTGTTATACAAACAGGCTACATGCTGGTTCTCTCTAAGAGCTGTTCTTTTCTCTCTGCAGGTAATTGTTCAAATTCCTATTGAGCTGTATCTGCCTTCTCTCTCCCTGTAGTTCTTTACTTAGTTATCGAATGGTGGATGAGAGCTGAAAACCCTTTCCAACAGATAATGCTGAAATCACTCCAATACCTATTCTGCTGACCTGTGATGCAACCTGCCAGATAAAATAATTCTACACTATTTGAATGCCCACAAAATCTTCTATTTTTGTACAAAATCAAAATAACCTTCATTCCCCACTAAAACATGGACCACCAACCCACACCAGAATCCAACCTTCTTGTGTATTTCGTGAGTTCATACTGGGTGTATCATTTTTCGTGACAGCCAAAGAAACTGCCATAATAAACCACACTGCCTCCCACAGGGGCCTGTGGAGATCCTTTGTGGGTCAGGGACCCAAGACCATTCACCCATCGAGGGGCCGTGAACCAGTGATATGCCTGGTGGGAAAGAGGTACTTAACTAATCATTCTCTCATCCAGAAGCTCAGTTTGAGAAATTGAGATAACACTGAAAGGAGAAGCTGAAAAGACTTGGAGGAAGAAGCTGCGGAAGCTAAAACTGTAAGCAGGTGCTACAAAGAAAAGAAAGGAGAAAAGGCTAAACCAGGAAATCAGAAAAAGGGTAGGCTCACACAGGGAAACACACCATATGGGAGAGAATTTGTTTTTTGTTTTTTTTGTCCTAGAAAATTGAAAAATTAGGTCCCTAAGGTATGCTTCTGACTATTCTAGACCTTTACAGACATGCTTCCCTTAGCTTACTGCAAAACCATACTCTCAGCCCTCACCAGCACACTTCTATGACCTCAAAGACAATACAACCTTTAACAACAACATACATAACTAAGTCAACTGTTTGCGCTGCTAATTAAATCTTAAGAGAACATGAAATTAAAAAATATAGTACCAACAATGTAGAGAAGCATATGTCAAACATGATGTGGACACCAAAAAATAGAATACTCTAACCACTCGGCTCTTAAATGGCTTAATTGGAAGGTATGGCAAGAACAGACCATCTTCTGTGCCTGTAGGAGATAGCTCAAGTATATACCAGTTTTGAAAGATATATTTTAAGATTAATGCTGATGAAGTAGAATGTAAAAATGTAGCAGAAGGGGAGTAAATATGGTTCAAAATTGAGTAAATTGAATGATTTGCCCAAAGTCATCCAACAAGTAACACAGGAACCACAAATTCAACCCAGGTTTCCAGACTCCACTTCTCCATGATTTCAGAATGAGTGACTTAGTTTAAGCTCTGAAAGTACTTACAAATCTTTGCAATTAAACCCAGGGGCCTCATCGTGCACTCTTACCTTTCCAATACCTCTTTCTCCCCCAAACTCCAAATCCCCGGGTACTTCACATAGAACTAAATGGTAAGTTCCTACCCCCCACTTTTCTGAGGTACCAATTTTCCCTAATGAAACTTAGAAAAGAAAAAAAAAAAAGACCACTGTGAATCTTCCTAACAATGCACAACCCAGTGCATTCCCTGCTTTTGTTGGTTAGGATGTGGTAAAATATAGCCCAACATAGCTACCATTCCTTAATTCCACATACACAATGACTTTAAAAGCATTAGAGAACATCAGTAAGAATCTCTGGTGCAAATCAAAAATAACAAGTGAAAAAGGCATTACAAGGTTCTATTAATGGAGACTGTGGTACTTGGCATTAAGAACAGACATGTGAGGACTAGGAATGTAGCCTAGTCATACACTGCCTGCCTAGCTTGTGAGAGGCTATGGGTTCAATCCCTAGTACTGAAAAAGAGGGAAGGGAAGGAGAGGAAGAACAGGCCTGTTGACCAGTGGAATAAAATTAAGCAAACTAGTTTTCAATAAAAGTGGCCAAGATAACTAGTGGGAAAAAAATAGGTTTGTTTGTTTGGTTTTTGGTTTTTTGTTTTGGTTTGTTTTTTATCCCCAATAAATATGACTTGGACAACTGAATTTCCAATTTCTTGGATAAAAGAATAAAACTGAGCACTTAACTCAGTTCATATACAAAAATTAACTCAAAATGGATCAGAAACCTAAATATAAAAACTAAGCCATATAACTCTCAAAATAAATCACCGAGGCAAATCTTTAAAACCTTGATTTAGGCAATGGTTTCTTAGATATGACACATAAAGCACAAGCAACAAGGAAAAAATTAAATCAGACATCATCAAAATTAAAAACTGCTGTGCTCCAAAATACATTATCATGAAATTAAAATGACAACTGACAAATCAGGTGTAATCTGACTTGTAGGTCTGTAATCCCAGTGACTAGGGGGTTTAAAGTAGGAAGACTACAAGTTTAAGGCCAGCCTCAACAACTTGGCAAGATCCTGTCTCAAAAAGTATATTGTTGAGGGGCTGGGGTTATGGCTCAGTAGTAGAGTGCTCACCTAGCATAAATGAGGCACTGGGTTCAATCCTCAGCACCACATAAAAATAAATAAATAAAATAAAGTTATTGTGTCCAACTACAACTAAAAAACTTTTTTTAAAAATTATATGTGTACATGTACAAATCTGTAACAATAAATCCCATCAATATGTACAACTACAATGCACCAATAAAATATGTAGAGGGGAAAAAAAGATCCTGTCTCAAATTAAAAATACAAAAAGGGCTGGGGATGTAGGTCAGTGGTAGAACACCTCTGGGCTCAACCTCTGTACCAAAAAAAAGAAAAGAAAAACTGACAGAATGGGCAAATTAAGTGCCTGAGAGTTAAATGTTATATATTACGATATGTCTGGTCTAGTATCCAAAATATATAAAGAAACTTACAGCTGAATAATAAAGACAAATAACCAGATTTAAGTGGGAAAGAGACTTGAGTAGACATTTCTTGCAAGAAGAAAAGATGATCAACATCAACAGAAATAACACTTTACATCCAGTAGGACTGCTATAACCAAAAAGACAGACATAAACCAGTGTTGGCAAGGACAAAGTTACTAAAGTAAACCTCAGTTACTATTGGTGGAAGATAAAATGATGCAGTTTGGCAGCAAAGCAGTTGGATGGTTCCTCAAAAATTAAAAAAAAAAGCTACCATATGTCCTGGCAGTTCTACTCCTAGGTATTTAACGAAGAGAACTGAAAACATATATCCCCAGAAAAACCCATATACAAATATTCACAGCAGTATTACTCTTAACAGCCCCAAGTGAAAACAACCTAAATGTCCATCAACTGATGAATGGAAAGACAAAATGTGACCATGTAATGGAATACTGTTCAGCCATTAAAAGTCCTGGTATGTGTCACATGAGTGAACTTTGAAAACATTATACAAAGTAAAAGAAGCAATCATAAATGACCATGTGTTACATGATTTCATTTACATGCAACTTTCAGAATAGGCAAATCTATGGGGAAAGAGATAATCATCAGGGGCTGGGGAGGGAGAATTGGGACTGACTGTTAAGGGGAACAGGTTTCTTTGTGAGGTGATGAAAATGTTCTGGTATTGGCAGTGATGGCTGTACAACCTAGTGAATGAACATAGGCAAACCCCAAATTGTACACTTTGAAAGGTTGAATTTGATAGTATTTAAGTTATAGCTCAAAGTAAGAATAGAGTTGGAGAATATTATGCTAAGTGAAATAAGCCAATCTCAAAAAAAATCAGGGACCAAATATTTTCTCTGATAAGTGGATGCTAATCCATATGGGGGTGGGGGCACCTGGGATAAGTGGAGGAAGTTTGGATGGGGCAAAGGGGAGGTCGGGAGGAGACAAAGGGGTAGGAAAGACAGTGGAATGATGGGCATCACTGCTCTAGGTACATGTATGATTGCACAAATGATGAGACTCTACTTCATGCACAACCTAAAGAAGTGAAAACTTTTACTCCATTTGTGTACAATGAATCAAAGAACTTTCTACTATCATGTATAACTGATGGGAACTAATAGATTAGATAGATAGATAAATTGATTAAAATAAATAAAGAGCTGGGCACAGCAGCCCATGCCTGTAATCCCAACAGCTCAGGAGGCTGAGACAGGAGGATCACAAGTTCAAAGCCAGCCCTAGCAACTTCGTTTGGTGCTAAGCAAATCAGTGAGACCCTGACTCTAAATAAAATACAAAATAGGGCTGGGGATGTGGCTCAGTGGTTGTATGCCCCTGAGTTCAATCCCTGGGTTCCTCCTCCCCCCCCAAAAAAAATAATTAAAGGGTTTTTTTTTTTAAATCTATTGAAGTTTCTGCAATTATTTCAACCAGTTTTTTTCCAAATTGAAAATTATCCTTACTTAGAAGTGTAAATGATTTTTGTTGTATCTAATTATTATTATTACACAACCAAGAGGTAACTGTCATTGTATTCTGTCATATCTCACAGACTTTGGGAAAGGTGGATAAACTTCTAAAAAAAGCATGAATACTATACAAACAAAACAGGATGTGCCCAGGCATCAGAGTTCATAAAGGCTTAACTCTGAATATAGGCCTAAAGGCTGCTACCCTTCATTGTGTAGGCAACCTTGATCTTCACAACCTTGGATTAGGCTTCTGTCATAGGATACTAAAGCACAAGAAACCACAGGAGAAATATACATCAAGTTGACTATCAAAATTAAAAACCTCTTTGTTTCAAAGGGTACAATCAAGTGTAGCTCAGTGGTACAGTGCTTGTCCAGCATATATAAGGTGCTGGGTTCAATCCCAGGAAAAAAAGGAAAGAAAAAACAACTTAGGTAATCCATAGAGTGGGGAAAATATTTACAAATCATAGACCCCATAACTTCATTTACTAAACAAAGTTATATAATCTATTTCAAGACCTAG